TACAACTACCCCCTTTTGCTATGCAAAGCCACATTGGCTGGGATGTGGGTCATATAAAGCTTTTATAAAGATACTTAACTGCCCCATTGGTGCTCTTCCAACCAGCATTAGTCATCTGTCAGTACCTTGCAAAAGGACTTTAAAAGTGCTGTGCGCAAGGTTTTCCTGATGTGGTTTTCAGCCATGGTGAAGTTTCTCACTCCATTTAAGAGCTATAATTTGTCACCTTTATGGTGTTTCGTTAAATTTGAAACTTGGTTAGGTTCAAGCCTTAAGAGAACGAACAGCATTCTCTGTGGTTTCTTTTTTGGTTGGTCCAGTGCTTTAGTATGTTGTCCAGCTTCTTCTGTGCTTTCACTGCTCTCCACCTCTCGTTGCTGCTCTTCTTTTTTTCTTGCTTGCCAATTGAATTCATGTTTCTGTGCTGTTTTATATTCTCTGTTTTGTCTTTGTCTATCTCCTCCATGTCTCACTTTGCAGAACCTCCACCAGCTCAAACAGATTCACACTTTGAGGCAGATGAATGAGCAGCTGCTGGCCGAAAACAGGGCTTTGACCCGGGTTGTAGCCAGGCTCTCGCAATCCGCTGAGACCCCAGAGTCAGAAGAGCTATAGCATCTCCCCCTCCAGTTGATCTCTCCTCTCCTTCCAATCTTCCAGGCAGGTCTTTGCTCTTATTGTCTGACTGAGCTATTCCCTACCCTTTCTACATTCTTCCTAAATGTGGCAGATAAGGAGCGTGGCACTCAAATAGCAGTATGGAAGTCACTGCCTGTTCATATACTAAACTTTGCATTTCTAATGCATACAAGGTACTTCAGTCACTTCTTTTCAGGTATACATTTCCCCCATATGGGTTCTGCATCTCAGGATGATCACCAGCCTAATAATAGTTTTGTTCAAGCTTTATTTTGCCTTTTTAAAGCGTTGTTGGGTAAGCATTGGATGAATGAAAGAGGCAGAATAAACACACACAAATCCAGCCACCTGGTTTCCATGACTGTGAAAATGAATAACGCAGTTCTGAAGGTAAATGTAGGATATCATTAATACTAACAAAATATATGTAAGTGATCAGAACTGGGACATATGGCTCAGTGTTAAAGATGGGTATGTATTGAATATTTTTATGAAATGGTGTAGTATCTGGTGTGAGCTAACACCGATGTAATCCAGCAATGTTAAAAAAACACAGTTTTGTCATTGGGGAGATAGGTTGTATTCTAGCTGTGGTTTTGTAAGGATCTAAAGCTTTTAGACGGCGGGACACAGGTGGCACTGTGGGTTAAACCACAGAGCCTAGGACTTGCCTATCAGAAGGTCGGCGGTTCGAATCCCCGTGACGGGGTGAGCTCCCGTTGCTTGGTCCCTGCTCCTGCCCACCTAGCAGTTCGAAAGCACGTCAAAGTGCAAGTAGATAAATAGGTACCGCTCCGGCGGGAAGGTAAACGGCGCTTCCGTGCGCTGCTCTGGTTCGCCAGAAGCAGCTTAGTCATGCTGGCCACGTGACCCGGAAGCTGTACGCCGGCTCCCTTGGCCAATAAAGTGAGATGAGCACCGCAACCCCAGAGTCGGTCACGACTGGACCTAATGGTCAGGGGTCCCTTTACCTTTTTTAAGCTTTTCTGCTAATTGTGCATGTAAGTTGTGAGAGAGAAAGTACCGGAAACTGCAAAACAAAGATCCAAGTCCTCATGTTTGTTTATTTATTACAAAATTTTCATACCACACAGATAACTATCCCCCCCCCAAAAAATACTAAATATGTGGGGGGCAACAAATTAAAGAACATGCAGCATTTTTATTTAATGAAAGCCATTATTGAATAGTAAAGCTTATAAATGATATGTGTTCGTCAGAAAAAGTAGGTATAGGAGGTTTTTTTTAAGGACTAGATAGCTTCATGGAAGATATGAGTATCATGACCTGAGGATGCCTTTGTCAGAGGTCAGGCCTATGTGGGTGGGGAAAAAATTGAGTGGCCCCCAGTAAAGCAAGAGTGCCTCCGGTTTTCCCAACACTATAAAGATTCTACCCAGTTAGGATGGCTTTTTGCAAAGCACACATGAACAAAATAAAACCAGTTGTTTTGTTATAATGTTCTTTACTGGTGCTTTGAGCTCTCCTGAAGCTTTTAAGTTGCACACGGTGTTTGTTTTATGTGCTCGGTGTCTTATAGGTTGGCATGTTATGCTTGCTACATATAGCAGCTCTAATGCAAAAGTGTAAGTCTTTTTCTCTTGAGAACTTGCATCAGTGAAGCAAAGATTTGGTCCTTTGATACTTTGTCCCTGTATGTTGCAATTCATCTGACTGAAATGTCACTATAAGGTACCATGTTTCTTTGTAAATGCTAAACATTACAGGGACATACCATTCAGGCACATTGTCTTCTATTTTACAGTTGTATTACTTAATATACCTGGAATCTACATTTGTACTGTACATGCAGAAAAGTGCTTTTCTGGGTATTCATGGAAACACCACTAAAGCTAGTTGGTTCCCCCCCATACATATATTTTCATAGCTTGTGTTTAGTGTGAATGTTTTTAATGGATATCATGTAGTGAATCCTGCATAATAGTTTTGGGGAACACCAGATGTGTTGTGTAGTAAATTGCACATTAATCATTTTGTCCTCCTTGCCCTAATTTGACTAGTCATCTCTCATGTTTGGGCTAATTTGCTTTGAAGGAAGTACTGAAGGATGCCATTGGACTGATGGTAGAACTTCTTCTGACACCCCATGTTTTGTTAGTAATCTCACTTGGCCCTGCTTTCCTATTATAAAATGAAAATAATGGTTGTACCTGTCAAAGACATTCTAGAAAGTGTATGTCTGACTGTTGTTTGCAGGCTCATCCTATAACTGCCTATATAATATTAACTATTCACACCATCGTGTGAAGCTCAGGATGAAAACCATGAAGTTCAGCTATCATTGTTATACCAGAAACCTATTTGCATATTCAGGCCCCACAAAGAGAAAAGTTGAATGCTGATTTTATAAATCCAATACCATTCCAATCTCTGCTTGCAATTTTTGGCAATTTTCAAGCAAATATTAAAGAACTCTGCTAACCTGGGATGAAATACCTCACCATTATGGTTTTGTTGCTACTGAATGGTCAAATAAATGTGACTTACATCTGTTGCAAAATGTCCTAAATTTGCAGCATCTCAGTTACCTGTAGCAAATCATAAAGTTTGTCCCTCCAGTATTGACAGTAAATCTGTGGTGGCTGCCTTTCTAAATATTCAGAATGCCAAGTACTGTATAAAAATTGAAACACGGAGCAGGATTTGGGATTGTACCTCTTTACCCTTCTCATTGCTAGGCTAGGTCAAAGGGCCATCCACGTTGGCATGGATGGAGGAGAGTGTGTGTACTTCTTATCCTATCCTGTGTCAAAATAGCAGGGTCAGCAAGCTGTCAGTCATGTATTCCCATTAGCAACAGGCACCCAAGTAGTCTGTGTGCAGAAAGGTGCACATAACATAGCCCACCTCCCCCTTCTGCCATGGTTGGAGTGTCCTTTGTGGCTTTATCTTGACCTACTCTCTTCTCCCTGGGCTAGAGGTTGTGCATCATTTCAATATCCCTGATCAGGCCAAGTACCTGGTCATTTATTTCAACAGAGGCCAACATCTAGGAATTCCTGGGAGCTTGAGCGGTTGGCAAAATGCTCAGGAGTCTGGAAAGCAAGCTGTCATAATTAACCATGTGCTGCATACCTCAATTAGTAAAGGCATAAGAATTCCAGACTTAAGCCATGGCCCAAAATAGATCACTCTTGGTTGTCCTTGCCCCAAATCACTTAGCATTTCTAGGCACCCAGTACTAACCCTTACTTTTAATGCAATAGATAAATATATTGCATTAAAACAAAACTTTTATCTCGTAAATTAGTTGTTAACCAAAGAGATATTTTATTTTGTTTAAAGAGTCCAGTTTTGGTCTATGATCTACTGTATATTTTGATTAGTTGTTCCTGAGATCAAGAAGTAGGCTTTCATCTACGTTGAGATGCAACTGGATGCCATTTTGAATCAAGATGCAGACGGAACCTTTCAAAACTGCTCTGGGGTTTTTTTGTTTCTTGAGCAATGCCGGGTATGAAGCTGCTAGTATTTCATAACTTGCCCGAAACATAATTGGGTGCCTGCTGTCAATGGAAAAACTACTGGCTGGAGGTTACCAACACTTTCTTTCCAAAAGTGAATCCACCTGCATAAATTGCTGCTTCCTAAGTCACTGGTGTGGGTGGGGTGCAAGGATAGATTTGAATCATAAATGTGCATGATAATACCGAGACCTTGTGAGCAAAGTATCCCTTCTTGACTATTGCTTGCATATGTTGAAAAAGACATTAATAGAGGCACATAGCATGTAACAGAAATCGCACCCAACCCCACTGTTGGGCTGTAATTGTGACTGCACATGGAAGTATAATGTGTGAACCAACCCTAAGTTTTCTGAAAGTATGCAACTTTTCCTTCTGAGTTTAAAAGTGAGAGATTTCTTTTGCATGGGATTTATCCAGGTGTGAAGGAACAATGCTACAAGGCAAGTGCATTTCCCAAAATGAAGTAAAGCGAAAGAGTGCAAGTAGCATTGTCCAGGACGAAATGCCTTTCAAGTTATACTAGATTGCAATTGTTCTCCAAAATGTACTTCTTTCTCATAATATTTCTGGGTATAATTTCCTGGGCTTACAAATGTCCACGAGTGTGACGTCTAAGCTAACATGCTCACTCAAGTAGATGCTGCTCTGTATATGTGAGAATGGAAGAGTCAAATTCATGTTTAATCTTAGAGATATGAATATGAAACGGATACACTTTGTTGGTGTGGCTTAGTTGCTTTTGAGATCAAATCCATTTTCGATTAACACTAGAAATGCTTTCGTTTGAGTGGTCGTGTGTTTCTCCCCCACCAGAGCTGCATAGGAATTTCAGGACAACCAGTACTGAATTGTTTGGATCTTGTCTTTGAACAGGTTTTGACAGAACTGAAGTCCGACAATCAGCGGCTGAAAGATGAAAATGGAGCCCTCATCCGTGTCATCAGTAAACTCTCGAAGTAGTATATTGAACATAGGATGGGCAGAAAGAGGAGATATTTGTGCACATGCTGCCAACCCTGCCACCTGCTTCTGATCTTCCAGTTGAAAGAGCAGCTGGCATTTCAGACACGGATCAGCTAGCCCCACCCTTCACTGCTCTTTGCACCTTGCTAGGCATTCCCATATTGCACAGTGCTTATCCTTCCCCCCAACACAGCATGCCCTGCCATGTTTTAATATTTTTGGAATGTTGAAGTAACTCATTTGAAGGGACAAAGACTGGGTTGGCACCGTCTGAGCTGCCCAAACGATCTGCTGTAAGCTCCATATCCGTCCACCATAATCTGATGTAAAGAAGAATCTACTGTAATAAGTGATATAGAAGTGACTCCATAGCGTTGACCCAACATGTCTTAAGATACTGTCTTGGAGTAGGAATAATGAGTGAAACTAGGAATTGCCACTGAGGATTTATCAATCTCCATTCTGCAATTTGGAAGTCTGCGGTGCTGGTGAAAGCCATGATGACTTATTTCTCTGAGAGTCTGACAACAGTCACTTGGCTTGGAGATTCGTGTTTTCCATGTGTCTCAGTAGCTAACTGATTTATTTAATGTAAGATTTTTGATAATTTAATTTGGGGATCCAATCACTGGCTCTCCTTTCTGTTTTGCTTCACTTTTGCCTGCTACCCTTTGATGGTTCTTGCTGTTTTTTCCATGGGTGCCTTCTTTGGTACTGTTTAATAATAACGTGATCTTACAGCCTCTGCATTCTTTGGCTAACAGTTTGCCCCTTGATTTTTCAAGACTTCTGGTGGAAAGAGAGCTAACCAGCAAAAAGTGCTTATTGAATGAAATCCCATAGACACAATGCCAAAATACTTCTTTATTAGCAAGATGTTTGGTTTTTCTACATGAAAAACCTCACAAAAGACCTGGGCAAACAAATCACATTTATGTTAACTTGCCAATAGATACGCATTCCCTTGAATAGGTGAGTGTTCTCAGTTTTAACAACAGCAAGGTTTGAGGCCTCAATCTTGGTGGAAAGTCTATGCAGTAGCATTCTATGATGTCTGAGAATTCTGATACCATGATCATTTGCACAGTTGTAAGACATGAATTTGCATTTAATGAGGGCATCAACAGCAGGACCTACATTTCTCAAAAAGCCATTTCTCTGCATACTGGAAATGAATGAATTCATGTTTATGGGTTATCATGATGTAACTAATTTGCACGCTCTGTTCTTCTGGATACTACAGAGAACCAGATTTCATCTGCAGAACCTGTTAAGGAGTTTCCTGTCAATATGGCAACTTGCCAGTGGACTTGCTCTGTTCTTTCCCTGCTTTCTTTTAATTCTCACAATTATTTAAAATAAGGAACTTTGGGATCTGAGAATAACTACTCTTGAAAGCATACAAGTGGGCAGTAGAAATTCAGACATTTCATTCAGCATTTTATCAGAGGGGGAAGGTGCTTTTTTGATCAGTTACGGATCAGCTCTGAGATGAAGACAGAATTGTGCAAAGAGACTCAGCAAGACTTCATCTTCCTTTCTTACCCCCATGCACTCTCAGAATCTCCAGAGGGGCCCCTCAGCCCTTGAGCAAGTTTGAGGGCATACCAGGGACTTCAGAAGGAAGGAGACGACGTTGAAGTCCCATTGCACAATTAGAAATCTGTTACACTCAAATATGGAGACTCCATATGTTTGCACTCCATTTCTGAGTAGAACTGTATGAATTCAGTTAATAACCAGTGGATATCATCTTTACATAGAAGCACCTCAAAAGACTAATTCAGGCTTCTACTATGGTGAACATAGCCTGTCCCTTTGAACAGAAACAAGGTAAACTCTGAGTTCCTAGCAAACTATTGCTTAAAAAAAGAAAGAAGCACCAGAAATATTTTCTGACATTATGTTTCATTTTAAGAACAGCAGATAGTCAGGATTCTGGATGGGTCAGATAAATTATCTGGTACAACCTCTTATACTCTACTAATTTTATGTGTTGCTTTTCTTACATCCAGTGCTTTTTTTCAACAGTTACCTTCCTACCAACCTTGTTTCAGAGCTAGAGAGGCTTGTGGGGGTTGTTTTATACTGGCCACAACATGCACTGATCTCTGTGAGTGGTATCTTCCAGCTCAAGCATTCTAGCTCACCAGTCTAGCTGATTTTACACCGGTGAGAGTATTTGGCTGAACTTTTTCAGACTCTGCCATGAATAATCATTTAACAGCACAGAAGGAGCAAGCGTCTGGTGCTTATGGTCCATTCTATAATGATCCCTACATTCTCCTGTTGCCAGTTCTCACTTAGCATGCAGTAGGTTAAGCATATCTCACAGTTTCAATGTGCGGACTTTAAAAGACACAGACTATGGTGGCTAATGCAGCAAGGATGGCTTGCCTGTGGCCCTGCAGAAGTTGGAGGGCTCTAGTTCCCCCCAGCCCCACACAACATGGCCAGGGATGGTGGGAATTGGACTCCAGCAGCATCTGAAGGACCACAGACGGCCACATTGATACAGCATGAAGGATGGTGACCTATGAAGTTGAGACTTTTTAACGTTGGGATTTGATATTTAAACTTGAATTCTGTCCAGCCTGAAATTATGTGAGCAAATTAATCCTGTTGACAAGCCAAAACACTATGATATCTAGTGCTACTGAAAGTAACTTAAGCAGATTATTTTGGGGGGTCACCAATATCAGTGTTGTCCTCCAAGTATCCTGTCTCTTGACATTCTGGGCTTCATGTCATGTAACAGATGATCAATTTTTTACTTATTTTAATACATAGCTTTGTCTTCCTTAGTAAGGCTTCCCTAAACCAATCACCTGAGAACCCATTTTTATTCCAGTATTAAACTTAACACTGGCCTGGATTGGACAACCATCTCACCTTAAAAAACTGAGGTATGAATGAGAGTTCTCTCCCCCCCCCCATCATGCTGTTATTTTGTCCAAGCTGTGACTAAACCAGGAATAACTTGGGGGAAAGCCTGGATCTTAAATCTTAGTTTGAATTTGGTTTGACAATCCTGTCTTGTTCCAAAGCTGGTAGCCATAGTTTCACAAACTGGAAAACACTGGTAAATAGAGGCCCTTGTTGAAACACAACTCACTCAAAAGGGAGCAGCCGAGGGGCTGTGTACAGGAGCAAAATCATATCTTGATTGATTAAGCTGATATATGATTGTTCAAATGCAGGCTATTATTTTAATATAATGTTTTAACCAAGGGAGTAGACAATTCAGGACAGTCCACTCATAAGCAAATTCATGCCTGTTTTTAAGAAAACCCAGAGAGAAAATATTACTGCTACTGAATTATGATTGCTTTGTACTGGTGCGTTTTAGTGTTCCAATGGATTTTATATAATGTTAGTTATAAGTGTGAAGTCTGCTAGAATATTCTCTACATAAAGTACAAATTATGCGGAGAAAGCACTGCAAGTTTATTCTGTGAGCTGTTAGAGCTTTTAACTGGAAGGCACTGGGTGGTTTTTCTTTAAACTCTTCTGCCTTACTGCTTTCTTACTCCCAGAAGCTTCTACAGCTCAGTGTACATCCTAAGACGTACTTGCATGTCGAAGGTCTTAGAAACCTCTTCCGCATCTGTGTTGAAGTTCCAGTGCAACTTTTTTTGATATAAGAAGCAGAGCTTGGAGTAAGGAAGGAGCGGGTTTCATTGCTTGCAAATTGTGAACGCGAGGTTTATGTGTGGTGGCTTGTTGGTCTGAAGCAAAGTTTCAGAAGAAGCTAGAGGCATGCAAAAAGGGCCAAGGAAAGAAACAAATGCAGATACAGAAGTAGTATTGAGAGCTGACATATTGTGGTTGAATGCCTTGCATTAAAGGAGGTTGTGTTGCACTGCTAAAAGACAATATGAATAATATGGATGAACAGCTGTCATATGCAGATAACTCTTAACCAGTGGAATGGAAATGGAATTTTAAGTGGGGGGTAGATTTAGAGCTGCAAGAGCATGTGTACTTGATTTGATCTGTATTTTGTGACAGCTGATGATGCAGCATCTGTGCACTGTCCATATTGATTTACTGTTAATGGAAGGAATTAAAGAATGACTCTAGAGATCTGACCAGATATAATTCAGTCAGTCATCTTCAGTAAGTCAGGGTTTAAGAGTGCACTGTGTTTTATCAAATCAGCTAATTTCAGATTTATTGGTGGTTTCTAGTCCACATAGGAATAATAATTATCAGAAGCCAGTCTATAGAAATCTGATAGCAAAGTATTTGATGCCATAGGACTGACTTCTTTTAAGGGCTGTGGATACAATCCAGTCGGTGGTTGTTCATTAGCATTTAAAAGTCTTATTCTCATGGGATAATCAGGAATGGTAAGTCTCACCATGATATTTGCCAATAGGTCAAATCGTATGCAACTCCCTGACTGTGCTTGGGAGACTTAACACTTGTTTTTCATTAGGGAATAGCTAGTCTGTTCCCAAGGCTGGTGAGCTTAATGTATGCCTGTAGATGGTAAAGTGCAGAATGTAGTCCTTTCCCCCACAAAGGATATTGACTGAATATCTCCCACCTGCCCTGCCAATTCTGCCATTACCAGGTGAGAGTAGGTCGCCAAGGCCTGGGATTTACTGACAGTGAATAGAAATCATGATTGAAATCAAAATATACTTGAGAGATGATTTCTACTGTATCATGTTTGCTTTCCCCCCATAACCACTATAATTCTTTCTGAATTAGAGAGTTGTTTGTGAGCAGGGTCTTAGCACGTTTCCGGACAACTTCCAAATTCCCACTTTGATTCAAATGCAGATTCTCCTTAACAAACATGTCTCCATTTTTTTTGAATGGGTGTTCATCTGTATCTGAGAGTGATCATCTTTTGCTGGGACTCCTTGCAAGCGAGTCAGAAGGCAGAAATGTCTCCCCCCCACCCCGAGATAGAAATTTGTCCTTTGCACTCACACTGATGCCCCCTACTTTCATCTTTGTTTTCCTTTATTCTACTTCACTCCTGCCATATTAGCCCACCTGCTGCACAGGGCAGCTTCTCAACTCGAAGTCCAGCATTTTTGGATGTACTCCTTCCTTCAGCGATGTTAAGGGGCCTGTTTCAAAAGGCAATTTTAAGTTTATTTCAAGCTAGCAGACTCCCCAAAGCCTTTTCCCTGAGCGACTTAGGTTTGGATCATGATCACCTTCATGTTTGGAAATCCTTTTGCATGATTCTCCTAGAAGCAGCATGTTCCATGAAGGGCTTTTTACCAAGATTAACTCCACAAACAGCTCACGGGTGAAATTTAACCCAATTCCTAGGGGCAATTCTTTTCTTCCTCTGTTCCTTTCCCCTGACAACTGTTCTCTCTTTTCCTGGGGCAAATCGGACCCTTGGCGTATGTGACTTTCAGAGTGTTCTCAGTAAATACTCTTGAAAAACAGCACAGCCCGAGCTGTTGCCACAGGGCCTCTTGTGTTGTCCCCTCCCCTTGCTTCCATCATGTTGTTGAGGAATCTAGTAACAAGTCCCCTCTGCAAATGCTAACTCGTGGAAAAGAGTGGTGTTATGCACTTGGCTCGCTAACTTCCCAAGCTGCAAGTATTCTGTACTTACCTGTTTTAAGGAGAGTTTTACAGATTGTTGTAAATACACTACTTGGAGAAAAGACTAGCCTGTGAGTGATGAGAAAGAATGTATTTTTATGCAATTTTTTGAGTGGCCTTTCAAACTCTTGAGATGAATGGTTTTTGTTTTCTTGATTGTTATATAGTATTCTAAGTATATGTTTGAAAGTTTGGGGATAATATTCACATCTATGATGCTTGTAAACACAACAGTATTTATAAATGAATAAAGTGCTTTAACACAGCCTGAGTCTATCTTAATAGTGAGAGCATGGTCTCAGGATGCTTTGGTGAGTCACTGGGGGAAGTAGAAGTTTCCCATCTCCTCATGAATGTTTGCTTTGAACTAAAGTTACATTTGTCTTAGTCAGATGGGAAACTTGATGCAGTGGCCGAAAATAATAGCAACACGTGAAAGTCTCAAACTGCATGAGGAGCCAAGTGATGTAGATCCTATCATCCCTCTTAACTTAGCATTTGCTACATTTCCTTGCCATTGGAAATATGGACCAGGACAATATGAAGGGGCTGTTGAACTGTGATAAAGAGACATGTGAATGAAACAATGGCAATATGCCACATTTTTATATCTAATGGCTAACGACGCAACCCCAGAGTCGGCCATGACGGGACCTAATGGTAAGGGGTCCCTTTACCTTTACCTATGCCTTCCATACATGAGAGTTGAAATTGACTAAAAAGTGGAAGGCCTTTGCTTGATTTGAATGTTTGCCAACACATACTTTTTAGAAATGAATAGAACAGAAGCTACATTTTATGCCCTGTTGTGAGGGTTTTCAATTATTTTGAAACTATTTTGTCATTAGATTAATGAAGTCTTCAGTGCCCCCTCGCCAGCCCCCCTCCCCATAACAATTAAAAGCTGCCTGCATATAGCAAATTAGCCACTGGGCAAAGGGCAATCCTTTTCCCCTGGTAGTTTGCTCCATGGCTTTTTCAAAAATTGCTTTTATGGGAAGAGCATTAATAGGCTCTCCCCTGCAGTCTGCATTGGTACAGTGCAGAATTCTACAACAGTGGATGTAATAGATGGAATGGCTCCCTGCGAGCGCTGCAATTGGAGAGCAGCCTCGACCAAAGGCATCAAGGATTTTGAAGCACGAACTCAGGATGAAAGGGAGAAACGAGCTAAGAGGAAGGCACGTTTGGCAAATCCTCACCGCTATCAACTCCTACCCGGAAACCTATGTCCCCACTGTAGAAAGATGTGCAGATCCAGAATTGGCCTCCACAGTCGTCTGTGGACACACTGTTAAGCCCATATTCATGGAAGACAATCTTTGTCGGCTACAAGTGATTGCCAAGGAAGAAGACGACAACACTGGATGTCATATATGAGATGACTCCATGAGAAAGGTATGACGCCTGACACTTGAATCACTGATTTGCCTGTTGGATGTATCTACTGTGTAAGTTCTTTTGGAAATGCAAACAGGGATGGTTCTCCCCTCACTATCCACCAATTTCTTTTGAACATGGGATCGCTGCCAAAATCCCCTCTTCTGTAAAGGGACTTTGTCCTCCAGCTGAGTCTCTCCTAATTCTGAGATCCAATAAGTATTCCTATTAAGAAAAATGCACTTATGTAAATAACAGGAAAACAGAGAACGGCTGGGTCTTTCAGCTAGTTTCTTTAATAAGGAGACGCATATCATTACAAAATAACAGTTTAACAATAGAGACAGAAACGGTCCACATGAGGACAGGAAAGGGAGCATTAAAAGCAGCTTCCTGCAGAGAGGGGTGGGGGGTGGGGGTTGGAGGTCAGTGATGCAGAGCTCAGGCTGCACCAGAAATGGTGGGAATGAAGTGGGGCCAAGAAATGAGTTGGTTCAGGACGTTTGTATGTGACAGAGAGCCTGGCTGGAAGAGAAGGCAAAGGAAGCAAAAACCTTGCCTCAGAATATCAAAGGTCTGAAGCCTTTCTCTAGCCTTTTTTGGATGTGTGGGTGTGTATCACCTAGGCCACCTCTTGAGTTTATGTTCTGTATATCTGCCACCCCTCAAATGGACTTGCCAACTTTTCAAACTGTTCCTTGAAGTGCTGCCTTTAACAATCCCACTTTGCCACATTGCGCTATACACCTGCATGAAGGATAGGAGGAGATTTTAGCAGCCTGCTGTGACCTGGGTCATCATGTCCAAATCTGTACTCCATCCATAACGTTCCTGCCACCTGCCGCTTTTTTGATGTCATCCTGCAGTTTTATAGCGCTGGTGATAAGCTGAGATAAAGCCCAGTTCGCACTATGTTGTTGTTTTTTTGCCAAGCTCATTGACAACACACGCCTCATGGAGTGGTGCTATGGCCAGAAAACTTGGATCAACAATCGCTTCGAACACAGGCTTTTTCAAAAAATAGTCCTATAATTCCTTTCAGAACTGGGTGTTACAGAAGTAGCCTAAAGGGCCCCAGCAATCTCATCGCTTGAGGATGCCACCATTTTCCTTTTCCCCCACAGACAGCCCCTTGTTCAGACAAAACCTCACTGGCAGTGAACACACAATGGGAAATGCTTGACCAGATAAGATTCCTGTGAAGCCCTGCCATGGGCCATCGATGGGCCATGTTCAGACTTTTAACTGCATGTTGGGGGTTCACAGCCAGTGCAGGTGTGCCCCTTCCTGTTCTGCTAAACATGCATTCAAAGAAGATGTGAGAGTTTTGCCTAAACAGGGTCGCTGTCTGGCCTAGCTTGAAATAAACTATCCCACTTCCTATTCTCCTCCCCAAGGTGAGCACTACTCCCTTTGAATCCTTCCCATCCACTACCCAAAACTTCCTCTGGGCATGGTGTCATCCAGCCATTACTGGACTACAGCTCAAGGTGGCTGAGACTGATGGAGTTGGGAGTCTGAAAACACCCAGAGGGTGCTCCTGCTCTAGATGAACACATCGTGCTGATACAGGAACTATAGACCTTCCCCATGCCTGCCCACTGCTCCAATTGTGGTTTTAAAAACTCCAATTGTGGTTTTTAAGAAAAATTATTGGCTTATCTGGTAGCAGTTGAGGTGGCTAAGAACCATTGAAATTTCCCATAATGCTATGTTGGGTGTTCCAGGGCATCATGGGAAAGTATTAACAGTGGTCTTCCCAGATCCATCCACTGCCACCGGATAAGCCTTCAACTGGGGAAGATGGGTGGACAAGAGGGTTAAAAGAGACACCAGCACCGATGTGATCTGCCAGGGTGTTTTGATCCCTGAATGGCTGCCTCAAATGCTGAAGCTAATCCTGACTGTTGAGCAAGAAAGAACATCAGAACAATGTTATTCGCAGCCAGTGTCGAAAAGCCTATACTTGATGGCTTTCCTTCAGAGCTCCAACCCAAAGTGAAGCCACAGCCTCCAAGTTGGGTCTCTGTCATGCACAAACGTCCCCAGGAATAACGTAAGACATGGACAGCACGATAGACAAAGACAGAGGCGGGGAAACATTAGCGAGGGAGAGGAGAGACTGGGGATCACCTGTCAGCCAATCCCAGTTTCAGGATCCTGGCAGCCTGTGATCTAATATGGCTTCTAAATTTGCTTCAACAGTGAAATGCTTAAGCACGACACAGAACATTGAAGCGGCAATGTTGCTGCTACTAGGACATGGTAAAAATGCAACAAGTTACAGTTTTGTAAATATAGATTACAACACACTGATGAAATCCGCTGCCATATTGTTGGTGTTGTATCCCCCACCCTACCCCATACAACGCTTCTATGAATATTTTTTTAAATGGATCAGGCATGCTTTGTTGCTTTTTTATTAAAAAAATTATTACTTTTTATTGAAAATAAACTTACATTGTTACAACCACTCTCTCTCTTATTTATTTTTTTACAGTCCCCCCCCTCCCATCTTATTAGGTAAAATAAATTCATTCACACCACATTTTAAAAATAACTCTGTAGCCTGACTGTATTCTAGAAAATGGGCAATGACACACATGGTCTATGGGTTCTGCTCTTTGCATGCTGCTGCTACTTACATACTGGCTAGGCATCATGCATTGCTTATAAGAGGGTTTCGTTTATGTTAATAGATCTCTATATCATTTTATATATAAGTACACACAAATGATGGGATTTGGATGAGGCTCAGATGGCTTGAGTTGGTTCACTTTTTCTCCCCCTTTATAGAAAAAGAAATTAAAACCAAAATACATTTATATTGTGTATTAAAGTTGCAGCTCCCCCATTTTAAACTGTAGAAGTTGGAGACACCATTCATTAATGGCTGTGTGTTCTGACCTGGTTCTTAGTGCTAATATTTCCACATCATTGGTTTCAAAGAGGACACCCTGGATCGTTTATCAGCAGGAGAAGATTAACAGAACTGGGTTTGTGTGGCGGTTGCCATTTTGCAGTGCAGTCTGATCCTTTTTGCTTGCAAAAATTCAAATTTGTTCTAATTCAGTAAGATTAATCTATGCCCATAACCACTATTGATATTGGAGACATCTTCAATGCAATGCTCACCTGAGCCCTCGCAAACTATCTACATGCCTCTTGAAATATCACTAGATAAATGCATCCACATGCACAGCATCTTATTATGGGGCTATAGATTACTTTGTATCTTACTGCCATCTGTTTATGTAGACATCACCTTTATAGCCACATGTGAATTGGCAATATAAATGCTAACTCAAGGTAAATTTAAGCTATGAGCTGGATCCAGACTTCCCGCAAGCAGAATTCTATTCAAGACTGCAGGAGGCCAGGTTGACTTCACCCTGAAAAGCTCTTCCAGAGGAATGGTGAAAGTTGCCCCAATTCCTTTCAGCAAGAGCCTCTTCTGGATTCCAGTCCTTTCCATTCACAAAAAAGCAGCTCTCTATCCAACCTTATGAATTTTGCAGCCATCGCATGATTGTCAATGAGGCAATTTGGAGTGCCACATAGATTCTGCCACCCACACCCACGGACCCCTTTCTTTAGTGTGAATTAAGAACCGGTAAGCCTCAAGTGACACTGTTTAGAAGCATGAATTGCCAATCCAGGGAAGGAAGTGACATTTGCAAGCTTTACATAACACATCACACAGTTGCAAATCAACAGAATTTATATTATGGCATATATTTGTTTGCACCATACTAAATGTATTGGGCGTTAAAGGTGAAACAAGACTCTTTGCTGCTCTCGTTGCAACAGACTTAACAGGGCTTCTGCACTAGAAACAGTTATAAATGTTAGTATTTTGCAGATCAAAGCAAAGTAATCCCACCAAACGGTGGCGGATCTGGGAGAGAACTGGCGTCAGGTTCTACAGCTGTAGGTAAGAGGAGGCAAAAGAAGCATAACCTGTGGAGATAATCAGCACTGTAATTCACTGTAACAAAATAATACAAATGGGTTTGGCAGCCTTTATCCAAATGTATAGATGCCTGCAGTGACTAGGAACTGTACACAAAGACTGGCACACTGGCACAAATGCGCGCGCACCCATAGATTCCAGTGCTCACCCACTATTGAAGAAAGCAGGACATTGCAGAACCTCATGAGAATTTCTGAGGGATGAAGAGCTCATTATTCCACCATGCTTACAACCTGCAAAGGCACCTTTTGATCTTTGTGGACAGAAGCATGTGATCCTTCCCTCTGCTATTGGGACTTCCTGGCACTACAGTGGTGCTGTTGCGATGGCATCTGATTAGGGATGGTGCCATGTCTAGGTTAAGAAGAAGAATCTCATGGACAGATTCAGAACTCCACAAGGACACCCTTCTGCAAGGATGCCTTAAAACCCCATCTTTGCCAGTGGCAGCATTAAAAGCTAAGAGAGGCACAAATTTTATCTACCCTTAATCGGGAACAAATTTAATGTACCCTTTAGTGGGGATGGACATATTTGTTGTTGTTGTTGTTTTTAAAAAAGAACAAACCAGTACCAAAGCTATCTTTTCAGAGATGCTGCAGTGATTTTTTTTTTTTATGATTAAGCATAGGCACTATTGCATATGGTCCTGCAGGTCTGATTAATAAATAAACCCAGGTCTCACTTCATGGGGCTTAGGAGCACAACCCACAGGTGGTGATACCATGGTAGCAATGTGCAGAGTGAACAGGGCTGCAATTGTAGCTTTTTAGGTTTGATTAATCCAAGAAGGAAACTTGCAGGGAAGCATGCTGAAGACCTTGAAAGAGTCCCCCCCACTTCTTTTCTTCACATTTCTAGAGCATTTTTAAGCAGCTGGTGAGAGCTCTCCCTTTCCATCTCCATAGTAAAGTTGGTGAGGAAGGAAAAAGAAGCAGAGCCAAGGCCCAAAGTGCATTAACATCAAGGTATTTACTCACCCCTACGACCAAAGTGGTTTAACTCTGCCTTTACATGAATGATCCTGGGATTACTCTGCTTGCAATGGCCCATTTGGGCAGGAACAACCTATTTCTAAGGCCTAGTTTCTGGGCTGTACCATTTGAGATTGAAAGGGGAAGCTCACACAATGGAATGCTCCTCCGTACAAACAAACCAACAAACCTATTCTATGCAGGAAAGGAGATGCCTTCTGTCATGCTAGTTTTCTACACGGCAGGATTCTTGTTTCGTTTGTATATGGAGGAACATTCAGTTCTCATTTGCGGGCTGGAATGGCACAAAACAGAGAGACAGTTACTGCCGCCCAGCTAGACCTGAGGCCTAATCCTAGCTAGCTGAGAAACGAAGAATTCAAAGAAACCTACAACCCATGGGAGATCAGCATACAACACCCAATAACCCTGTGCTTTGTCTGCATTAGCCAAGCTGTTCTTTCAAGCTCAGAATTCCTTACAGGTGGCAAAGGCTGACAGGCAGCTGAGAACCTTAAAGCCAATATTGGTACTTAAGTCTTGCCTTGGTGGCCAGAATAGGAAGGGAGACATTATTGCCACAGTGGCTGCTGAAGCACGGGGACTGCCTTATTCTGCATGCTCAGAACTCCACCACTGCTCTCTCTCTCTCTGTCTATTCCTACAAACACAAAAGTATAAGTCGCTATTTGGCTGTGCAGCCAAAATATTAAAAAGATCATGGTAAGCAGGACTGATTCGGTCCAAGCTAAGCCAATGAAGAAGCTTGCACAAGAGATCTTCCTTGGCTAAATATTTTGCCCTCATAGGACAGTTTTTTGAGGCCTTTTGCTCCCTCAATCTGCAACTTGTATAAAGCCTGAGCCTTGCTCAACCATCTTCATGGCTAGAATCTGGTTTTCCCCCTATCAGCACCAAAAGGTCCGAGGACCACCATGGTGGCTAAATGGAACACAACCAAGGCAAACATAAAAGCGTCAGGCCCGCATTCACCGCTGTATTCTTTAGATGTTGAGCTTGAACTGAGCAGGACTGATGGCCCTTCAGTAAAACAGAGGCCTGGGAGTGGTGCCAGTGTCTACATCCTTCCTGCTCCAACAACCTGAACAGGGAGTCAATACGTCCAAGACATTGGTATCTGGTGCAACAAATGAAACAGGCAGGCTCTTCAGGGATCAGTGCAAACACTAGGTAGCAAAGATAATATGGCTTATCCCTCTGGGATCAGCAGAGAAACCATAAATGTTTTTGGCAGCAGGACAATACTATATAGAACAGGAGATGCTGCTGCCTTTGGTGCATCTTTGGTCCTTAGGTTGGAATGGATTCGCTTTCCCTCTAAACTTGAACATGCACAATGCTCCCTCTACTAGCCAAGAGCGACGTTGCGGGGGCAGGGGGGGGAGAGAAGGCTCCCAGCCGAAAGCTGCTTCAACTCTCCTAATTGAGAAATTAGATAAATTAATCTAAGATCAATACAGCATTCTGTAGGCCAAATCTGCTTGTCCTACCTGCTCTTCCCATCTAGCAGATCATCAGAGCATTAGAAAAACACAGGTACTTCCCATACGCCTTTGGCTGAAAAAAACCCTTAAGATGTTAGGAATGTAGGAAACTGTCTTATACTGAGTCAGGCCACCTATCCCAGTGCTGTCTACTCGGATGGGCAGTGGCTCTCAAACAGGACATTCCCAGTGATACTTGAGGGCAAAATGGATGGAACCTGGGATCTTTTTGCATACAATACTCGTGCCTTACCACTGGCATATGGACGCAAATTAACCTTCCTGCTAAATATCTCTACAGTGCAAGGCAGGATGAGAACTGTATGCAAACCAACCCAGGGCTGCCGTTTTCTTCAGGTCTCAAAGCTGCATTGAAGTTCTTGCTACAGTTTTCCACTATGCACCCAGTTTAACACCACTATCTAGAAGTTGACTTACCTGCAGGGCTGGGCCTTCTAATTTCCACATGGCAAGGTTACTAGCATAAATATCCCATGGTGCTGTCCTTCAAAAACAAAGTGTGTTTTATGCTCTGCCCTGCACTTAAGACAGAAGAGTGGCAACTCGCAAGTGTAGTTATTGCACCCCAATAATCTCCTAATACCACTCCACTGTTCTACTCAAGAACTGAAAACTATAAGGGAGCAGAAGAAGAAGAAGAAGAGTTTGGATTTGATATCCCGCCTTTCACTCCCCTTCAGGAGTCTCAAAGTGGCTAACAATCTCCTTTCCCTTCCTCCCCCACAACAAACACTCTGTGAGGTGAGTGGGGCTGAGAGACTTCAAAGAAATGTGACTGGCCCAAGGTCACCCAGCAGCTGCATGTGGAGGAGCGGAGACGCGAACCCGGTTACCCAGATTATGTGACTACCGCTCTTAACCACTACACCACACTGGCTCTCAAGCAGAAGGCTCTCTAAAGCAGAAGACTATTACCTAGATAATACAGGGCAATTAGTATTAGGTAATTTGTATGCTCAAAACCACACTCCCCTCACCAAAGAGACTTAAGCCACCAGCTATCCACATAATCAGGGATGTTCCAGTGCCAGAGTTGCTCCTTGTCCTCTCTGCTGGGTGGCCAATGGCTGAAGGCCACCAATCTCGAAGTGTGAGGATGCTCGTATGGTTCCCAAGAGCACCACTTCGTGCACCTTGCTGTCTTCCAAAGCAAGCACAGTGTATCTGGTCAACTCACATTGTCAGGCTCTGGTATCATCCAAGCACGGTATTCAAAGGTCCAATTTAAGGAAGAAGATCCCAAAGCGAGTAAAAGCAAAGCTTGCTTTGTGCTGCTATTCATGGTGGCCTTGGGGAGAAACCCAAGAACGAAGCTTGCTTTGCGCTCGAAGAGAACGACACAGAGAGACGATGGAACATGCAGCAGACAAAACTACTTTGAAGAATGCGAAAGGAACAGCTGTGTCTTTAAACCTTTCCCCCCTCTGGATGCTCTCGAGTTCATCCAGAATCCCTCTACAGCCATCAAAGAAAGGGTATTGCAGCTTAGAAAACAGAACGGAACAGAAACCAAACGTTGCCTAACTGAGGTATTGATAGCTCTGGATCACTTTGAATGTTCAGAAGGTGATGCTGGGGTATGGAGCTGCTTATTTGTTTTTCCCAAGAGCTGCATCCACCTCCTCTTCAGGCTTCAGGGAATGCCACTGGGCAATGGGGCGGCGTGGGTTGGCCAGCATGTCAGACCAGTGCCTTAGCTCCGTGCCAGTGGATTTGTTGCCGACAAATACTTTGCCAATGGCTTCGTTCTTCCCCAGCTTGTCATAATCCAGCACAGTAATCACAACTTGCACTTTCTGGATGGGAGGCAAGAAAAGAGAAATTAGTATTACGGTATACTACTTCCGCTTGAAGTTCAGTAGGTGCTCAGTTGATCTTTTTTAAAGAAAGGCTGGAAATGATAGTTGCTGGTTTGTTCCCACATGTCAGGTTTTAGGAACAATGGGATTGTTCTGGGATTAATGGGCAAGGAGCAGAGGGTCACAACAGGGTGACAATCTCATTGGGGGGGAAATCCTGATCAGAAATAGCATGTATTTTTGGTTGAACAAGAGCTTGCTGCAAAGATGAGATGATGCACGCAAAATTTGAAGCATGTGATTTGTATGTGACTAGGACTGCAATGTTTAAATCACTGGATTGCTCAGATTGAATTTTTACAGTGCAATCTTATGCTTGCCTTCTCAGAAGGAAGCCCCATTGAGTTCAATGAAACTTGTTCCCAGGCAAGTGCTTAAAGGACCGAAGCCTTAATCCACTCAAAAGAATTGTTTGTAACTGGAAATATTGATTTAAAAACTCTCTTATATGAGGAAAAGCCTCTAAAAAAGTATCTGCTACCACATGTGCCTGCATTATGTAAAAAACAAAACAAGAAAGTACACTTATTCTGTCAGATTTTAACTGATAAATTTGATGGAAGCATGTACAATGCATCAGCTGAGGCTGCAATCCTATATACACTCATGTGGGACCAACTCCATGAGGCTTACATCCAAGTAGGCATACCTAGCATTGCACTGTGAGCTACACCTGCAGCTTGAAGAGACCCAGACCAGGTTAAAAGCTTTAACAATGGATTCTGCAGAACGCTCCCTGGATGCAGCTACAGCGAGCTAGTTACTATGCATCATTTACACAAGTGATTATATGTTAATAGGACTCTACATCATTTTATGGATAAGTACACAGAAATTATGGGATTTGGACAAGGCTCGGATAGCTTGAGATGGTTCATTCCCCCCCTCCCCCTTTGTAAAATCCCTAAACTCATTACTAGGCATTAACATCAAAGCATGCTATTTTAAACAGTTCACGTGGGTAATGCTATCATAGAATGGCTATGTAATCTAATTCTGCTGTGTGTCTTAATGCTTTACTATCATTAGATTTGAAAGGGGGCCCTATGGATCAGGAGTGGCCGACTTCTGTATTCACAAGAGCTATCCTATTCCCCTATCCCTGGTTCAGCCACTGCACTGTCGTCCCCCCCCCAAACTACAATCCCTTCCACAAGTGGTTGGGCACCACAAAGCCACAAGAGCTCCACCAAAGCAAAAGATATTAAATCCAAATCTCTCAGTGTCAGAACATCTTTAAAATCATATCTTGACTGAAATGTGGCTTGCAGGAAGACACAAAAACAGCTTGTGGGTTCAGTATGGTTCAGATGGCACCAGCTAAACAATCATCACCTAAACTGATGATAGAAGAAACGGAATCGGAATCAGGTAGGGATGTGGCACAGGACTACAAGGACTGCCTGTCTCCATATAAACCCACTCAGACCCTGCAATCACCATCTGAGGCCCTTCTTCGTGTGCCTCCTCCACGAGAGGTCCAGAGGGTGGCAACACAAGAGCAGGCATTTTCTGCAGTGGCTCCCCATCTGTGGAATGCTTCTCTCAGAGAGATTCGCCTGGTGCCTTCATTACACACCTTTAGGCACCAGGCAAAAAATGTTCCTTTTTAACCAGGCCTTTAACTGACATCCAATACCCTTTTGAATATGTTGTGGGATTATTGGTTTGCTTTTGTTCTTTTTATTATATGTTTTGTTCTTTTCTAATGTTGTTAACCACCCTGAGATCTATGGAGGACTTAATTTTGACACAACAAAGAGGGCAGCTGTAGCTCATGCTTCCTTCTCCTTTATTCCATATAGTGTCTGGACCGAATGCGCAAAATGTGCACAACCTAGCTCTGGTTGGAGACACTGAAACTGCACTCTGGCAGGCTTCTGGTTGTTCTTTACAACATTTGTGTCCTGTGATGGGAAACAATGAACTGAGTGCTGGTGCAACAATTACGAGTGTTGGATGAGAGTGAGGGAGACTTGGGTTCAAATCCTCATTCATCCATGAAGCTCACACTGTGTCCTTGGGTGGGTTGCTATATCTCAGCCTCACTTACCACAAAGTGTTGCTGTGGGGATAAAAGGGGGAGGGGGAATCATGCATGATGCCTTTATCTCCTCAGACGAAAAGGGGAGATATAAATGTAGTAAATAAATAAAATAAATGCAGTACAAAACATGTCCCTCATCAGAGAATGGCTGGACCAGGCAGGCCTGGACTTGTTAAAAAAATGCCTAACTTAAATCAAATCTTTTACAGGATTCACCCTGTACAAAACTCACCAGGCTTTTTAAAGCTTATCCCTTGAGAACATCCCCCTTCCATTGCCAACAGGGAGGAAATGAGGCTAGACTATTCAGAGATTTGGCCCATGCGCTTTGAGAGGCCAACATAAGATCCCATGGTACAGTTAAGATGGCAGAGGACTTTATCAGCCCACGGATGAGCTCAGTGACCTGGGAGCCCTTTGCATGGCCCTCCCCCCCAAACTCCCTCAAGTGAGAAGCAGGTGAACCTGTATCTGCTCAAAGGGGATTTCAAAGCTGAACGACTCGTTGAAATAGGGGTTCAGAGTCTTCTTCTTGACGGTGGTCTTCTTCTTCTTGAGCCTCTTGCCATTCTGCAGCAGGTGGATCTTCACATAGGGATCTGAAAAGCAAGGCTAAGCAGTTCAGACTTTGCAGGCAGCTAACACACACTGAAAGGAAACCTCAAGGGGAAACAGCTAGGAATTAGCCATGCTGCACAGAGGAACAGGACGGACAGAGATGCCATTAACTTTTTGCTCCATAATCCGGAATCATTGGTTGCTTAGAGCCACTTATGTAGGATGCATTTCCTATGGATCCTCTGCCTCTTCCCAGAGAGTCCTTATCTCTTTTGTAAAAGCTCAAGATACCCACCGACTTGGGATAAGAGGATTAGACAAATGCAGGGAGCACAAGGCTACTAGCAATGATGGCTGCGCTCTACTTCCACCGTGTGGAATTGCAAGTGGGGAAAGTGCTTCCCTCAGCTCAGGGGATGCTTGTGGGCTTCCCATAGGCATCTGGTTTGCCACTGTGAGAACAGGATGCCGGACTAGATGAGCCTTTGGTCTGACCCAGCAGGTTTTCCTCACGTCCTGGGGCAGCATAAGGCTGGTTCATGCTTCTCTAGTGGAATGGCTGACATCTCAAGAATGAAAAGGCCACAGTCCCATGCAGGAAGCTGGAGGAAGCAACTTTCCATACAGTTGCAGGTATTTCAACTACACCAGTGCAACTCTCCCTTTTGGGGTGGGTGGGTCAAGAAGCCATAGATATAAATGGTCACAGCCATATGGGAAGCTGGCCAATGCTCACAACACATGTTTCATTTTCAAGTAGCATCCATGCAGCTGGTGTCACTCAGACTTAAGCAATGTGAGACCAAGGACACCCCCCCCCCCAAAAAAAAGAACTATGAGACCTTAGGGTGAAGGGCAGGTAAAAAAAACACCAAATCAAAATAATTAAGAGGAATAATATAGAGGAAGAGGAAGAAGCAGCATTTTGGCAGGTGTGGGTTATACATTCATATTACAAAGCAATGAAAGGAAGAACTACTTTATGCCTCATTGTGCAAAAATGCCCAGAAATTCCTTCAGTCCTGGCTCTGAGGTGCCATCTGGTGGGCATGAAGTTGTTCTGCACTCACCTGAAAGTCCTCCGACATCCATCTTTTTCAAGTTCTTGGCCTCCAGGATGCAGACAGTGAGTTTCCCGGCAGTGGGCACATATCGTAATGAGATACAGATGTCTCCCAGTTTCTCTGGCTATCGAGGGAAACAGGGAGAGCAATGAAATCTGGAGTTCTACTCAGCGCCAATAAAAATTCAGAGTCCTAAGTCATGGCATAACACAACTGCCCTGTTCACACTGTGCTATGAAGGCGCTGCCCCTTCTCACCGTCTAGCAGACAGATAATTTGAATGTTGCCCTGTCACTGCAACTATGGCCACCATCGCCTCCTCCAGCCAGGAAAGCAAAGGACCTGGTGTCAGGAATGGGAGAAGCATCTGACACCTTCCTTATGTTGTCTGTCACATGCCGAAGATGCACCTCTTTATCCTGGCCTTTGACATTTGAGGTTTATACTTTAAGGACCATCCTATTCGCTTGACCATAATTTGTTTCTAACTTATTTTAATATTGCATTTATAAATTGCTGTAACCCACCCTGGGACTTTATGGTGAAGAGTGGGTGAGAAATTGAATAAATAACAGCGAGATTATTCCATATTTTGGTACGCTTATACACAGGCATTAATACTAAAGCCAGAGGAACAGCGGACAATACATTCAGTTATTATTACATTTATATCTCCCCCGTTCCTTCAAGGGGTCAAGGTGACGTATAAATTTATTACCTTCTCTATGTTATCTTCACAGCAACCCTGTGAGGTAGGTTAGGTTGAGAGATAGCGACTGGCTCAAAATCACCCAGAGGGTTCCTGACTGAGTGAGCCTCCCCTGGTCTTACAGGGCCTAGTCCAACGCACTAACCTCTACACCACACGGGCTGGATGCACAGGAGGAATAACAAGTTCCTCCACCCCTCGGAAATCATTGAGGTGAGAAACCCCATAATGATGTTAAGATTTATTTCCTGAAAAGTAATAAATAGCCAATTTTGGACTCAATATTGTTTATATGTAGTTAGGGTTTAGGGATTCCACACCATCACAAACACACACACCGATATGCATGACTTTTCACTTATGAATGCTACATTTTTTAATCCAAGACCTTATTCTTCCAACTAGGCAGTAGAGAACTTGGTTTTTAGACTTGACCAATCAGTTTCCATTCCTTTGTTACTGACAAGAGGCAAATGATCTTCCACAAAGACCATTTAGTAGCAGAAGGCTGAGGTGCAGAGATACTCTGCTGAGAGACTGAGGGTTTCCTTAAAGAAGGCAGCTCAGCTCAGCAAGAACCTAAGCCTTCTAAAGCTGAATTTCTCCAATGCCAACTTCCTACCAAAGACCTCAGGAAACTTAGCAAAATTCACCTTCTTTGTGGGGCTCCTTCATACAGTGCTAAGTATCAGTACCCACATTTGAACAGCTGAGGTAAAAAAAAAAGCAATAAGATAATGGAAAAAAACAGCAGCAAAAGGCAATGAAAGAAAACAAGATGCTTCCACTTCCATCAGCTCCTTACCTCCTCTTTTTCTGCACTCTCCAGATCCCTCCATTCTTCAATGGGCTGCCCCAGGTCCACCGTGTTCATAGGCACCTTGACTTCTCCAATGATGTCATGTTTGGAGAAACGGTCAAAGTCATAGATAGCCATCACCAACGTCTTGCCACCCAGCTCCTGATATGGAATCTGTTACACAGAACAGAAGACTGTGGTTCAATAACTGCTTTGGCACCCGGAACAAACTCTCTTAAGAGGCTGTTGGAATGATCTTGCCCAATAATACATTTTGTTTCAATTGCCAGGAATTATTTTCCCCCCATTTTTCTCCGAGTGACACTGGGTATTGCACCCTGCAGTACTTCTTTCTTTCTCTCTGGGGGCTACCACAAATATGTCAGTGTGCAGTATATCCTCTGCAGAGGATGCCTAGGCCAACAGAAGTCTCACCTTGAAGACAAAGGTCTCATTGTAGGTTGGGTTAAGGGTCTTCTTTTGCACTTTGGTCTCAAACTTCTTTTTCTTGTCAGGAAGCAGGAAGACTTTGACGTAAGGGTCAGATGTGCCCCCCATGTCCAGTGCTGGGAGCTCAGCTGCTTGGAGGATCCCTACTGTGAGCTGGCAGGGAAAAATAGGTCTTAGGAAATGAAATGGCTTTGCAAGGCCACATGCCAAACAGCACAATGCGTAGAGAAGGAAATTGGCCTCAGAACTAATATGAACTGTCACCTTCCTTCTGCTCTTGCTGGATGCCCTACGTTGTCCTTCTCTTTTGTGTTACACTCACAGGTGTTATTCTTCAATTCGCCTAGCAATACCATCTTATTTAGTTTAGTTTATTGCTATGATATATAACATACATAACTGTACAGTGTAAACCGCCCTAGGAAGAAGGGCAGTATAGTAATTTAATAAGTGAAATAATGACGAAGAATGAAAAGCAGCAACTAACCATGTGTTCCTTTTTCATTATGCTTGCAATAAATACGGAGACTACCCTTCTGTAACATTGAAACAAACCATGCTTAAGCCCAAACAAGCAGTCTCTGGGAGAGATTTCGGCCAGTCCTTCTGGTTGCTTTGCTGCTCTACCAAACTGAGCCAAGCCATGATTTCACTTAACATATCATCCAAACTTGTGTTTGTAGCTCAGCCTTGCCTGATAAACCATGAGCTACAAACCACAGGGCAAACTTTGGTTAAAGCTCATTATTTGTTGAGAAACCAAAACTGCAAGCCAGGCTTGGATAAGACGCTAAGCCAAACCACATCTTTGACTAGTGCACCAGCAAAACAACCAGAGGAGCCAAGCAACTTCAATCATTTTTCTGGAGCTTACACATTTTGTCATGCTAAGCCATTATGTTTGGCTTAGCACCATGCACAAACTGGGCCTATAAATCCATTGGCCACTATGTCATGCCCATGAAGCTGATTATCTCATTGACCATCAAGAGACAGCCATTCACATTACTTCTTACAAATAAAAGTATACTGGGAAAGTACCATTATTCCATCACCTGGTTTGTAAAAGAAAAAGAGCATAAAATTGCATGCCACTGTTTTTAAAGGAAAAGCAGTGTGTGGAGAGAGAATTTGGAATGGGAGAAGGGGATGTTTAATCTTTTCCTAACCTCAACTTCCCTGCTCCAAATAACTCTTCCTTCACACACACAAGCTCCTTCACCTGGTACATTTGTGAGGGTAAAAATCAGCTTTAGGGGGGCCTGTAGTGGAAAAGCTGTGGGCAGGGAAAGAGCAAAGCTTCTCTTTCACATATACTGCTTCTCAACAATACTGCCATCTCGCTGAAGCTGCTTTCCCTCAAAATCAAAATGGCACTGAGGCTCTCTGACATGTGTTGCTAAATAACACACAGCTACCAACTGTGTTAACTGCTTCAGCTATCATTGCTCTCCCTCTGGGTGACATCTCTCCAACAGCTTTGGGTGCATAGCCTTTCCCCTTCTCTCTCGCCCCACCTATTCATTTGGGTGCCTTACCTGGTTAGCCTGGAAGTCATAGTCTAGGGAGAACTGCAGCTTGCCCAGGTTCTCTGGTTCCTTCTCCTCTTCCTGTTCCCCCTCTCCTTCCCCTTCTTCTTCATCATCATCGTCATCATCCTGTTTGTTCTGGAAGAGAAGCAATACCATAATGTTTTGCACAGGAACACCATGCACTGAGAACCTAGTTCCCCTTCACACACGCGTATCCTTTCTCCTATACCTTGCCTAAGCACTGAAATGCATGTACATAATCTATAAAGCGTTACTTCAGGAGTAGGAAAAGGAGAGTTGGCGAAAGGGGAGCCTAAGGTTCCTTATCAGTATTTTGCTCATAATTTTGGGTCTCTCTCTGACTTCAGTCATCACCACACAGGCTGGGCACATGTTTATTCCAGTCACGACAAAGAGTTAACAATTTCTAGATACCCTAAATGACGGAATCATTGAAAAGTTGGGTAGAGGGTGGTGCCCAGAACCTGGTACAAGATATAAGGGTTGTTGGACCAGATAGTAACAGTAACCCTAGTGGTGAAAAAGTCGACATATATGTCAGTGGGCAAAGCCCAACTTTGAAGGAGGAAATTCCCCCAAAATGAGGGGATTGGTAAAAAGGGAAGTTGAAAGGGAAAGTCAAGATGCATCAAAACTATCTAAAATTCTTGGGAGTAAGGATTGTTCAAAACTAGAAGCTCAGCTAGACTGCATACAGATCAGGAAAGATGCCCCCGGAGCGAAGAGGAGGCCAGCAGAGTCAAGGAAGCTATCCAAAAGGCTTCCTTCAGAAAATGGAAGCCTTCGCCAAAGGAAGAGAACAAAAAGGAACACAAATTTTGGCAAAAGAAATGAAGGCAGATGGTGGCCTGGTTCACATATCACAATCAGCCAAACCATGGCTTGATGTGAAGGTGTGAACATGTCGAGCTCACAACCACTTTCCTCCTCCCTGGTCCTTCTCGCTCCCTGCTGAGGTTTGGCATTATGTGGCACCTGCAGTAGCGCCAATCCAGTAGCACCTGGATTTTGATGGATTTAAAATTCCACTTTGTTAGTAATGGTTTTGTTCTGTTTTATGTGGTGTTTTTATTGCATATTTTTATTTAACTGTCTATTGCCTTGGAGGGATTAATGAATTAATCATCATAATCTACTACAGAGATTATAGGCCTGAGGCCACCCAAATGTTCCAAATGTTGATGAACTCACATCAATCCCAGACAATGGTCAGGGATGAGAGATGAGAGTCCCGCTTTATTTGGAGAGCCACAGGTCTCCTATCCCTGGTCTATTGGATAGCAGATTTAGTGAAAGGAAGAGACAGAACCCACCGCTCAGTTATGACTATTGTTAATAGCACTTTAAACTAACCTTGGGCTATTGTGGCCAGTGAAGTTTACTCTGGTTTGTAAACGGTTTCTGTTGTTTCTGTTGCAAATAAAAGACTATTTTTGGGATGCCTGAAATTTCTTAGTGTTGATTTTTATTATTACATGCTGTATTTAATATTGATTTGCTTGTAAGCTGCCCAGTATATATATTGATAAGCTGCTACATAAATTTAACACCTCAGTAATTTTCTGCATACATGCTGAATGCTCTGACTTTCAGAATATAAAGATTAGATTTCTGGCAACTGTGAGCTCTGAGAGATTTCAAGGAGAACAGTGTAAGCAATGGAACTGTAGTTATCTGGTTTGTGTACAAAGGGGACCAATCTATGCCAAGAGGATTATGGGAAGTGGGGTTGCCATGATGCAGCAGGGGGAGGAGCCTGGCTGTTCAGTAGCTTTAATGAGAGGGTGGCTGGTGCTCACTATGGGATTGGTGCCTAGGAAATGAAACAGGGGCTTCACCTAAATCCAATGTTCTCCTTTTGTACCTTGCATAAAACAAATGGGACTAGAACACTCACACATTTGTATTCATGCATACATACCCTCAATGTACATGTTATTCGTTCAAGCAATTCACATATTTAAAACGAAATACATTGATCTAACTTGGTCAAATGTACTGTATATTTTCAAACTAGTTCCTTCCCCACAAAATTCTTGCAAACACAATCAGGTCACTGATATATGCAAATTCATTCAGAGTTTCATTTCGCCTTGTGAAGTTTATCCACACACTTTCTTGTCCCACTGCTCCCCCCCCCCCCGACCTTTACTGCTTAATCAGAGCAAACTGCAATCGGGTTTTCCACATATTGTTGTTTGCTCTGATTTAAAGCTAAAGAGCAATATTCCCCTGGGAAAGGAGCAAGCGGAAAACCGCTCAGCTCAGGCACAGGCCAAGCGGAAGTATGGACAAGTCTGTTGTCTTGCCAGAGAAATTGATCTGCTAAGAAACTGCACATTATCCAACAATTAACACAAAACAGACTTTGCACTCAACCTCATTTACAACTGGGTAGATTTGCAGGAATTTAATGTCCCCTTAACCAAAAATTTGTAAGAAAAATTTGTTTACCTTCCCCAGTATAAGTCCCATATCACAATTAATGCCACCATCTTAACAAAGCCTGTGTGGAACTTTGAATTGTGTGTTAGTTAAACCCTCTTCCCTTGTCCCTTTAAGCCTAAAAGGGAAGCAACGTTTGCATCAGGACCTACCATGAGTTGACATCCAGGTTAGTCAGATAAGATGGAGACAGAACAACACAGAAGGAGAGCAACGAGAGCACAGAGAAGGAAGAGAAGGGCATTATAGAGACAAAAACTGCACACATCATCAACAACACCTAGTGCTCCTGAGAAACCACAGGCTCCACACCTTCAAAATGCATGCTATATGGGGGATTGGGTAATTACAATTTCAAGAAACCATTTTGGGGGGTGGGGTGAAGGACTAACTACACATTACATTAAGCTAGTTGCTTCAGTGTGAAAGAAAAGCATCTGTGTGGGAAGCTGACTCAGATCATGTTCCTGATCCAAATTGGGACCATGCACCAATTTCCCACTGGAAGCCACACCCCTGGTTGTAATTTCCCACTGCAGGTCTTGTTTGCTGAAAATTGCATGGGCCCTCAAACTGGACTGGGAGCTTTTCCTTCAAAACAGAAGTTGCCATTCTGGGGTTGCTTCTTTTTTTAAAAAAAACTGTTGTGCATTTTGTCCCTTGTGACACCGCTGTATCTGCACTCATTTTGCTTAGAAGGGTGCAAACAAGGTAATTTGCCACTGTGTGTTTTGAACCAGCCAATTTCTTCTCCCCGCTTTATTGTAAATTGTCTCACAAAACTGAATGAAGGTAACTACTGGACCTGGATTTCTCTGGAACCTGAAAAGCACAGAAGTACATAGGGGAAAAGAGAAAGACAGAGAGAAAGAGAAAACATGACTTTCTATGCACATTAGTAACTTAGGGACTGCATATTTGTCTCTGCTTCTAGAACAACAACAAAAAATAAAGTGCAAAGAAAAGACACATAGCTGTTGTAATGATCCTGCTAAGAGGGTGTGGTCTAGTGCTTCCAGAGACTTACAGACAGAAAAAGCTCCAATACTGTCTGTTGCTATTGGCATTCATCCTCTGTTTGAGGCAGAAGATATACAGTCACTGGCCTAGTTTGCATAAAACTATGGCTTAGCCCAGGGGTCTGCAACCTTTAAGACAAAAAGAGCCACTTGGACCCGTTTCCGAAGGAAAAAAAACTGGGAGCCGCAAAACTCGTCATTATAAAAATAACCTTTTTGTCACTTTTTTATTATTTCTTTGTTTGACCCCTCAGAATTACTCCTCCTCATAGAAATAAACGTTAAATTAACAAGTTACCTTTGTGTGTGTGTGTGTTCTTCACTCCCCTTCAAAACAGTGACCAGCGTACATGCCCCTTACAATGTAGCGGGCGGGAAGGTGACGTCGGGACGGTGCGTGACTAACGCATGCACCGCCCCCATGCGACGTCACAGCCAGTACAGCGCCTGCCACAGTGGGCAGTGTTGGGGCGCACAATGCACCTCCTCCCCTCGCTAGTATCCGCCCCGGAGCCGCGGCAAAGGTGTAAAAGAGCCACATGCGGCTCTGGAGCCGCGGGTTGCTGACCCCTGGCTTAGCCCAAATGTGGGAACTACTGTAGAGATCATTGACACTTTGCTCTTCCCCAGGCATTTTGCTGGTGCACCAGGACTCATGGTTTAACTATCTCCAAACTAATCATGAGTGGTAACCAAGGCTTGTCCTATGGCTTATGGCTCACAGTTCATTTGGGGAGCAGCAAAATAACCCAGGGAGGAGTGAATCACTTGCACTCTCCTCTCCAGAAGACCATGCAATCACACTAACCCATGATTTGCCTTAGTGTGATGTGCAAACTAGGCCACTGAGTTCTGCACAACAGAGTTCAGTTCCCCCAGCACAATGACAGCTGGTGACTGGTGTAGCTCAGCTAGAAGATATGTAGGAAAATCTTATGTTGTGCCCATTTAGTAAATGGCTCTTACTATGACCAGAGACTCGGGGCAGATTTCTGCATCTAACACATTCCACAGAACTGTGCCTTTTTACGTTATCCTTACACAAGTTATCCTACTTGCTAGGGAAGCATTTTTTCAGAGGTTTTTATGTCTCAATTAACTGATGCATCTAGGCATTCCACACTGACATCTAATCTATCCTTCCTGTCTGAAAATCCTGAAGATTGCAATTAATATTTGCTCAAACATTTGCTCAAGTTAATCAGCAATGGGAAACCCCAATTTAATAAAATCAGAGGATTGCAGAATAGTTGAATTCCAGTGGTGGTGGTTGTGCTCAGGTGCTGCTTGTGGGTTTCCCACAGGCATCTGGTTGGCCAATGTAAGAACAAGATGCTGGACGAGACGGACTACTGGTGTGATCCAGCAGGCTCTGTTGCAATAGTTTCCCTAACTACCGAGTACAATTCCAGGATGGAGCATGCATGTATTAATTAGGTGGAAAGAACCACGTAAGTCCATCGCCCCGCCCCACCCTGGAATACACTTGGCTTTGCATTAGGCAATGTGGTTACACTAATGGCACGCCCATTAGTGGTTACACTGGGAAGTTACACAATAATGAAGCATAGCAGGGAAGGCTCTTCTGGTGTTCTTAACCTAGAAAACATGTCCAGGTCTTGTGGGAAGTGAGAGGGAGGAAGGTGACTGCTCTGTCCCATGTTCAGGATGCACATCCTCCTTCTGCGTATGATGTCCAAAAGCAAGAGGAGTCGTTCAGCTTCCCATCATTCCTTTCAAATGTCTGAAGTGGGCTAGGTACCAGGCTAAAATGATGAATGTCAACATTTCACTTGGGACTCTAAATGATGCACAAAACCACCAGATCACTTCTATTAGGAAGGCAATTTATACCTGGTCAGATTATTTCCCCATCTATCCTAGTCCCCTGCCTGACAGCAGCTCTCCAATGTCTCAGACAGATATCTTTCTCATTGTCTGCTACCCAATCCTTTTTTTTAAGTGAACATGCTGGGGATCAAACCTGGGATGTTCTACATGCAAAGCATGCACACTCTTTTACGGAGCTATGTCCTTTCCATTATTCCAGACTGCCTAGTTGCAAGGAAGTGGGTGTTGTCTTAGCAATTTGTTATCTTGCTTTTGCATACATTTTCTGGGTCCTGCTACCAACAATGCTGAAATGCCTCAAGGAATTTAACTGTTTAGCCTTGGCCCAGCTTTCCTCATTTTCCAGTGTCTCTGGAAACACAACCAGTTAATGACATCCAAATCTTCCACTGTTGGATTTGGCAAGAGAAGTGACTCAAGGCGGAGAATCATGAGGAAAGCTTTGTGACATCTCTTCTCCATCCTCCCTTCATTACATGCAGAATCTCAGCACACAGCAGAGGGATCTGGATGACTAGGCACCTCTGGGCTGTGCTTCATTAAAGCACCTCATGCAAATAGCCTCATTAACAGAGAGAGAAAGAGTTCCAGCAATATGGGCTATAAAAGTCCCATTTCTGAGCCTGCTACCCAAGTTACCAAATCAAAAGTCTCCAATATGGGAGAAGAATTTAGTGCCCATAAAACCTTCCAGAGTTTCACAGGTTTGTCTATCTTTAACTGCTAATGGGATTTGCTGCTGAGTTAGTTTGATTGCTGCCAGCAAAGCAAACATTATAACCCTGAGCAGTAAGAAGGGGGGGGGGGAGTTGGTGTGATGGTGGCATCAGGTGGGACGCTGCACCAGACACCTTTATGAGCTGGGATTTATTGACTGTTTTGTACACATTACTTCCTGGGAGCAACACCTTTTCAGATCCTCTAGTGCTTTTGTGGCCTTTAATATTTTTCATCTGCAGGTACTAGGCAAGAGAAGTCACCATTGCTGGTGGGAGAAAAGGTATGTATTCCTACCTTCCATTGACTTCTAGTGCATTGCAGGCTGTAGATAAGGCTCACAGGAAAATCTACTACAAAATACTATAATGCTGAGAGAACCATAATCTACTTAACTTCCCCCTTTTAAACAGAATATTATCCACTACTCTAAGTCTTGCGTAGCTCGCATTCATGTCCAGTAGGGTTTGCCCAACGGCACTTCCTAGAAAAGCTGGAATATACATTATAACTAAGGATCTGCCCATCAAAAACATACTCACATGAGAAGCATAATGCTTTTTTTTTTTTTTTACCGTCCAGCATATGTATATTTTTTATGCACCAGAAAGGCTGGATATCTTGATCCTGAGAGCTACTGGTCTTCTGTTTGATGCAGGTAAGTCCTCATAGCATTTACTTACCAAAGAGGAACTCTGTGAGCTTTACTTCTACACAGACAGGTTTTAGGGATGGGTTGCAAACTACCCTGACTAATATCAAGGCTTGCATTCTGATGGTCAATCTTTTATCTTAAGGCTGCTGCTGCTGCAAGCAATGAAGGGCCAATTTCAAATCTCACTGCTGGCCCTACCTAGTTGGGGCTCTCATGCACTCCCTGCATAAAAAAAGAACTGAACTCTTTGCTTGTACATCCGATTTTCATCCCGCCAAAAGCACAAGCAAGTCCTCACCGCATCATGCTAACTGCAGCATCATAACCGATCCTCTCCCAGGAGGTGTCATTTTACCTGGCCTTTCATGTCTTTCATGTTCATTGCATTTTTCATCCCCTTTTTGTCCTTCTTGTTCTTCTTCTTCTTGCAGCAGCATTTCTTGCAGATGCAAAAGCAACAGGTGAGGATCAGCAGCCCAGCAACTACAGCAATGGCAATCAGGGCCCAAGGCGGCACTGAAAATACAAAACACTCTCATTGCACAGTTATAGCGGAATTTACTGGGATGGCCGAGTGCCTGAAATGCAAGCACAGGTCACACTACTCACAAAATGTATTTAGTTATTCCAAGGGAAATTAACTTGTACCCTGATTGTTGGGTCCAGCACCACTTCTAAAGTCGCTTCCATTTTTTAAAAAAAGCATAAAACTAAAAGTAATAATTTGCAATGCTTGCTGCTGGATACTGACAGGCATTCCATTATTTAGATGCCATGACTTAAAAGACACCATCCCTACCTGCTGCACTTTTGACCATGGATTTTCAGATGTTGACCTGCATACAGGGGCAGCCCTATGCAGCAATGACCATTCCTATCCTATGAAAATGCTATGGATACAACATTTCCTGTCAACAGTTCTGTTATAAGTCTCATCCTTCCAGGTGGCTTCTTAAAGGCTAAAAATCAATATGCTTTCCATTAAATATAGAGTGTATTCTCTCTCTCTTTTTCTTTTTTAAAAACACAATTATTTTCTTAGTCTCTTTCCTTCAGCAAACCACACATAGTTTTCAATAAAGCTCTTTTTTTAAAGCAGAAAACCATTCAGTAATGTTCCTGAATAAGGTTGACTAAGTCAGGAATGAGGAACTTGTGGTTCTCCAGATGCTGTTAAGACTCCAGTTCCCGTCATCCGCAGCCAACATGGTCAATCGTCATGAATGAGAGGAATTGCAGTCCAACAATACCTAGAGCAAGGGGGGGGACTGGATCTGGTCTGAGGGCCAGAACATCATCTCCTCAACCCCCAGTGAGCCAAACTTGACCTCTCCAACACCTGATGTTGCAATGACATCAGATGCCCATTTTAACCCTTGTGTTCAGCCCACATAACACCTACAACGTTGCAAAGTCTTAAACACTTTGGTCTGTACCACAATGATGTCCTGAGTATACATCATTGTCATTTATCCCACAAGTAGTTAATTGCCCACAAGTAGTCTTCTGCCAAGAGGGAATTCAGGCTTGGTGCCAGCCCAGCCCTTTGCATTCTACAAACAGGTTTAGAAACTGCAGTAATGGAGCAAGCAGAACATTTCTGCAAAGTCTCCAAAAAAGGGGCAGCATATGCAAGCTACTTACAGGGAATCTTGTTTATCTCGTTCATGAACTTTTCTTTAATCTTGGCAAAGACATCCTCCTGGCTCTCTACTGGGCCTGAAGGCTGTGTCGTGTTGTCCATTGACACTGCTGGTGCCACTGCTGTGGTAGGGTTATGGGGTGCCGCAGTGCCCGGGGTAACAGCTATGATGGGCTCCGGCTGGGGCTTCTTCTTGAAGAGGTTCCAAGTCATCTTGGCTACTCTTGAGGGTCACTGAAAAAATATAGGCACAATGATAGTTGCTCTACACTATTTGACAGAGGACTAAGAACAACACTGTGAAATAGCCTCTTACATATGATGAAGTAGGCATGGAAGCATTTGTTTATTTCAGCTCATTTTTTTCCAAAAAAACAGATTATTAAAACTGCACTCTTATAACCTTATGAAGGCCCAATGCCCAATGAAGCATGTCAAAACAAGTGCTCCTTAATAATGAAGCAGCCAAACATGTTCCAACTCTGAATCTTCTTCACTAGCCACATATTTATAATTAGATAAAATAAACACAATTAGTTGTGGTTAGTACCTCATGCATCTAGTGGCATAGTCCTAATTCTACCACTTGCACTTAGGTTTTGCAGTCAAAAAGCATCATTAATAGACTGAGAACAAGTCACATCCAAGTGCCTTAAATCCTGCATGAACAAGACTACAAATGTAAACCTTAAGGAATGCATGTGAAGATTGGTACATGATCAACAGGGCTTTTGCAGAGTCAAAATAGTACTCACATCTCAATTTCTTATACTAGTTTTGTCATCAGAAAGCATCATAATAATTTCAAAGAGCATCACTTTTTTCCTGTCATGAGATCAGGTCCATCTATCCTTCCCCAAAGGTCTGGGCCAAATGCCAAGAAAAAACAAAAAGCAGGTCACAGAAAATACCCCAGTTAATGTTTCTGATCTGAAGAGTTTGCAGTCCATTTGCACATGCAAATCAGGCCACTCCAGATTCTGGGCAGGACAGCAGGGAGAGGGAGAAAAATTGGGATACAACAATCCCATACTGGACTCATGTCAGGCATGCCTAAGGTGTTCCCAAAGGAGATTAAAAGAATCCTCTGCACTGCAGTAGGAGGAACATATTTTCTCTCATCCCACCTCAATCTCCCAAAGGGAATTTATATCCATTTATTGCCCCACTACAAACCTGAAAGAAGCACGGCAGCCTCTGCTAGAGTAGCTGAAGTACTGGAGATCTCATGCAAGGAATTCTTGCCTATTAGAACTCAGGTAACACAGAACCCTAGCAATGGCATTGCAGAAATGTTGTGTATCCTCAATGAACAGAAATGCCAGATGTATTTTTCATCCTGGACCATGTTCCTCTGTTCTAATTTATCTTCCTCACTTTCTCTGCTTTCATATGCCATTCTCTTTCGTGGCAGTGTTGGCACTGCATCAGAACTGATCGCTTGACCATCAGTTTCAGCACTTGATTCTGGCTGGCTCACCTCTAAGTCTGCTGCCAGAGTGGAATTTAAACAGTGCAACTGTAGGCATGTTTACTCAGAAGAAAGTCCCATTAAGTTCAATAGGGCCTGCTATCCAGAATAGCCTTGCAACCTAAAAAAGTGGCCATTTCCCAACTGTATGTATTCATTCATTTTAAATTTAAAGGTGAATGTATCTACACACAGCAAGAACTAGGGTGACTACCTGGGCAACGCCCAAAAAGAGGTCAAAGATTTGCATGGGATTTGTACATGCAAATTGATAGTCATAGATGCAAATTTAGAAATAATTACTACAATACACCTCACAATTGTGGGGAAGAGTGATCGGGCACCTTTTCAGTCTGCTGTCTAGATGCTAACTGCAGGTGGGCAACTTGAAGGATACTGCAGAGATCATTCTGTCAGTGCCGTAGCGTGGGGGGTGCAGGGGGGGCCGGCCACACCGGGCGCAACATCTGGGGGCGCACGCGCTCCACAGGTTAGGGGGTGCAAAATCCATGGGTTAGGGGGCGCAAATTACTTGCCTTGCCCCGGGTGCTGACAACCCACGCTACGCCACTGCATTCTGTCAGGGGAAGCATTTCAGCCTGCCAGAAGGAATGATCCCCTTTCTCTCCTTGCATGCCATTCTGGGGATTTGCCTGATCTCCCTGCAGAGCCAATTTCAGGAGGTGTATGGGCAGAGGAGAGCGGGGGAAGCCCCAAAGCACAAGTGGAAGTTCTTGCGCTGGGCATCTCTTGTCAGGACACTTTAGTTGGATCCTACCCCCAATTTTTAATCTGGACTTGGACCAGTCGGTTCTTCAGGTGATGGTCCTTTGTGAAGTCAGATACATAGCAACCCTAAGAACAGCAAGACCAGGTCAAAACTGGCAGCTGCTGCAGCAGCAGCAGCAGCAACCCCACTTAGTGATATATAAATGTTGTTAGATAAATATATAATGTGACATGCTTACTCACCTCACAAGACCTGAGTTTTTCGTTTTACATTATTATTATTTTGTTTTAATATAAGTTGTTTGGGGTCACTTTTGTAAGGAAAATGACATTATTATTATTATTATTATTATTATTATTATTATTATTATTATTCCACGCTTCCTTCCAAAGGAGCCCAGGGCTATGTGGTCATCTTGCCAGTTTCTCAAAGAGTCTCAACAGTCTTTAAAAAGAAGTGGATACATTCTGAAGGGCATTCCATGGTGAATGTTAATATGATGTATATTAGAGGTCAAAGCAGATTCCTCCTCTTGATAATCTGAGTTCTCTTTCCCCTGTTCCACTGAAGCATCAGAGAAGGCCACAGTTAGATACAAGATGCTAGAAGGGGTAGGCTATTGCTGAGAAACAAAGAACAAATTGATAATGCAGGGTGCACACTGCTAAATAACAGGTACCGGTAGGTAGCCGTGTTGGTCTGCTGTAGTCGAAACAAAATTTAAAAATTCCTTCCAGTAGCACCTTAGAGACCAACTGAGTTTGTTATTGGTATGAACTTTTGTGTGCATGCACACTTCTTCACCTCATACCAATAACAAACTTAGTTGGTCTCTAAGGTGCTACTGGAAGGAATTTTTTTATTTTGTTTTGACTGCTAAATAAGTTTCTTTAAAACCCACTGCAAATTGTTTTTTACTTTCATGTTTGGAGCATAACTGACCACCATGTTTGGCATTGGAAAGGTGTCCTCCCAACTAAAACCAGATTTTCCGGTCATTTTTCTTTTTGTTAAAAAAAAGAGGAGAAAGAAGAAAGAAGCTTCCATGCAATTCATTCCTTGCGCAGGATGAAGTGGCAATTTAATATGTAATGTGAGTCAGAGGGAAGAAGACGCTATACCCTCCCTTTGCCCAGGCTTCCCTGCATCCCTGATACTATTTTTAATTTCTTGCACAGTGGGGAGAGGGATGTCAGCTTCCTTCTCCTGCCTAGCCATAATTAACTTCAAATCACATCCTTCCACCCTCACATCTAGTTGGTGCCTAAAAGGCTGCACAATCTTGACTCTGTCCCGCTCCCAAATCCCCTCGTCTCCTGAACCTGTCATTTCACTTTTTCACGTAAGAGGAGGCCTGCATATTTATGAGTCAATATTTATGGCTGACTGGTAAACAATGAGAGCGCCTGTGGGCAAGCATCTCATTTTTGCTCTTTGGCGTCTCTTAACTGATTAATGCTAGTACGATAGCCAGCCACTGGTACGTGAGAGCCTCTGTAGACCAAGTGTAATAGATTAATTCCCCCATGCAATAATTCAACATTTGAGAGCAGAGGGAGTTGGGGAGACAGAAGACGAAGAATGAGGAGATGGAGGGGGAGTGGGGTGGAGGCGAAGTTAGAGAGAGTCATCTCTGAAAAAGCCAATCTGCCACTTTTCATGGCAATGAGTGAGTCAATCTCTCCTTTTTCTGCTTCTTCTCCATTGTTAACATGGTATATTTCAAGCCTCCATCAATCAGGAAGGGGTGGGGGCTATTTAACAATTGTGCTTCAACGTAAATGACAGCTTCTTAGGGCTATAAAAGAAATGGAAGGGGAGGAGGGAAAGGAGGGAGGTGAGCACCTATCCATCAGGCCCAATCTGTTGATGGAGAAAAACAACAACACAAGCTAACAGATGCTCTTCAGCAGCTATTGGACACAATTTGGGAAAGCAATGCCAGGAGGAAAGCTGCCCTTTTAAATTTCTTAAATTACACAAATGTCAACAGCAAAGTACAGATTGTGGAGGTGGCTGAGAGTAGCAAAGGCCTTGATCAGTGGAGCCAAACAGGAAAATGCAAAGCAAAACTCATATAATGCCTGCGCAACTGATTTAAATTGTGCAAACAGCCTTTTATATATATATACATATGAAGATGTGTTATTAAAATAAAAGTCATCTAATGTCCTTCTTTGGACGTGGTTGGGGCAGGGAAGGATCAGACCCATACATCTTTCTTACCTTTGCTACTGAAGTGGTTAATGAATTGGAGGCAATTGACCCAAACTAGCCCCACCCACCTCAGTTCTACTTTATACACTGAAACATTCAAACACCAGTCCAGAGTAAATTGATAATTCACAGAAAAGGTTGATATTCTCTTTAGGAGATAGGACTGTAGTGGCAATTCCCTTCCATGAGTGCTCCAACTCCACTTCCTGTGCTTGCTGTTGCATAATCAGTCCCCTGTTCTTTTTAATGTCCAGGAAACAAAACCCATACAGTTGCCATCTTGGAATCAAACTATACAAGACAATGGAAGACCTGTGGTCAGACTGCCCCCCGCCCATCATGGTTTTCTTCAGTGCTAGACAGCAGGTCAAAGTTGGCTGTAGTCACAAGGCTTAACCTTCCCACATGGCCCCCCACTCTTAATCCTGTCTAACCCCTAAAGCTGCTACAGGGTGGAGCTATTAGCCCTTCACTGCTCTGTCCCTTAACAGAGCTCCTTTTTTCTTTTTAGTTATCATAGAACTCCTCTATCTCATCTAGTTCAGCACTTATTTTCAGATCCACAAAACTGGATCTAAGGTCTCTCATCTTATGGCAGAATCCGAGACCAGGGAGAAGAGTCGGTGGAAGAAGACTGGAAAAAGTTTAAAGACTATTTACAGAAATACTGTAAAATTAATGAATGCTAGAAAAATGTTGGAATGAAGTTATATGGCTTTAGTAGAAATGTTATAAGGAATTAAGTATAAATAGATTATTAGAGCATTAAAGGGAAAAATAAGGTTAGAATGTGTTAAGACAATTATAGGATAGAAA